AAAAAAAATATATATATATATAAAGCACTTTCTGCTTCACTTCTAATAATTTTACTGATGATGCCCTCTACTTTCTGGCCTTTCAGAATTTAACAGCAGACCAGGGGAAAATGAGAAATGAATCCAAATCCCTGACGACTAGAGACTTTCATTTTGTACCTAGTGTCTAGAGTTTCCAATTTTTGAGAGAAATGACCTTGTGCTTATCTATGATAAAAGTCATGCTATTTTTCTTCCCACGTGGACAATTTCATAAGCACTTACTTGAGTCTCTCTCAATTGCACAGCTTTTCTAACTGGAGCAATTTAGTAATACCTGCTGTTTTGGAGACCCTGCTTTTATTCCCAATGCAAATAATAAAAATGCTCAAAAAGATAAACAGAAAAGTGCCCTTTTATCAGTATATTTAGGTTCTCTTTTTGAGAGCAAAATGATTTCTATTTCCACTTTACCCTTTGATAAAGCAATTTCAGTGTGAATTATTTCAAAATCCTATTACATATTTAGAAAGCTAAAAATAAATATTTTTAGTGAGTAAAAAGTTCATAATTATATTTTAAGTAAACTGCATTTAATTACATATTATTTAATGATGTCATTAAAATTACCAGTAGACAAGATCATCAATTTTTAAAATTTTTTTTTAATTAAAAAAGAAAAACGAAAGCAATAAAAATCCTAATAACCAAAAAAAACAAAATTTTTCATATCTCTGGTTGTATACATAATATATTCACACCAATTTGGGTCTTCATACCTGTACTTTGGATAATAATGATCAAAGGACTTTAAAAAACAGCATACTACAGGAACATCAGCCACATCAATGTTTATAGCAGCACAATTCACAATAGCTAAACTGTGGAACCAACCTAGATGCCCTTCAATAGATGAATGGATATTAAAAAGTGTGGCATTTATACACAATGGAATATTACTCAGCAATAAAAGAGAATAAAATCATGGCATTTACAAGATCATCTATTTTAAGAAGAAATGGATGTGTGGTGTGGTTATGCCTATAATGTACACCTAAGATCACTGACCTGCACTGGAATAGATCTCGAATTTCTGCTACCTACAACAATGCTAGAATAAGGATTTCAGACAGTTGCCTTAGGAACTAGTTTTATGAACTTCAGGTTAGTGTCCTTAGTCCAGTTGATGATCTAGTCTTGGGTACAGCAATGAGTTTTAGACACAATGCCAAGAGCATAATCCATGAAAGGAAAAAGTTGGATAGGTTGGATATTATTGAAAATCAAAACTTCAGCTCTGTGAAAACCACTGTTAAGAGAATCTCAGGTCTTTGGTGTCAGATGATTTTCCTTTGTTTGGACTTCCTCAAAGTTACATTCTATAAGCAACAAATTGGGGAAACTTTTATCTAACTGAATATCTTATTTAATAATGGGGAATATAGTAATGATTGCAGAAGACTTCATAAAATTCAAACTAGAAAGAAATGGATGTGTGATGAAATTATGCAAGTAATGTAAACAGAAGACCACTGATCTGCAGGAGAGCAAAAAACAGGGATTATGTCTAAAACAGAAGCTAAGATTATTTTTAAAATATACTCCCCTTTTCTACTGGATAGATGATCCTAAAGAGAAGCATCAACTTCTCAAGCTAATTGAGGATTTTAACACTTTAAATCACTTTTTCTTTTGAAGTATTCTTCATGTGGACTCATTGATTTTCTAACACGGGACTGTCATAAGTCTATAGTGAAGTATCTTTCTTAAATTTTATCAAATATTAAAAAGAAAATAATAATCTATGCATTTTTTTGCAGAAAATTTACAAGTGTGAGTAATAGGCAAGTGCTTTTTCTTTGGTGCAATTTTCAGTCTAAAAATTAATTTGATCAGTCAATTGTAGGATCAAAAATATGACTGCTTCATTTCTCACTATGTGGAGATGGTCCTCTATCTATAATCCTGTTATTCCACTTTATTTCTGGAGATTGAAAGTAAAATAAAATTTGTGCTGGAGAGTTATTTTTATTCACTTCACACCCATACTGAAACAAATTTCAATTCTCATTCTGAAATATGTCACCTCAATCTGTTAGTTATTAAACATAATTTTACATAAGTATGCTGTAAGAAGAGTCTCAGAAAAATCTATTAGAAAAAAATCAATGGCAAAAAAATTGAAGAGAGTCTAATATTGGAATTTTTACAATATTTATAATATCACAATCATTATAGGGTGGGGCACAAGCTCTCTTGAAATACAATAACCTCTCTAAGTTAGGGAATATTTAAGTTGTCTCAAAGCATACTTCTATATAGTACAGATCCTTGTCATCACTGCTAACCATTCCCTACTTATAAAAGAATAAAGATGCTTTATGTATAGGGCTTGGCTTTGAAAACTTTGGTGTACAGTCTTTTACAGTCATGATTAATAAGTAACCCTGTGATAGTTTATCACAAACAAAAATGCAAACTGTGCAAAAATACAGTTTGAAATTCAGAATGATAACTAGAATCAGGTTAAGAGAAAGTTTAAATGGACTAAATTCTCTTTTGCTTGGCTTTACCTGCCCCAGCAGAGCCTATTACATCTCAATAGCCACTTCTTGGATCAATGCCCATTTCTGAAATATATAGACTTTTTGTGATTTACACAACTGGCTTGGCATCTTCCCACAGCTACCTAAGATCTGCCTTCATCCTCAGATGTAACATGTGACAGATGATGCACCTTCTTCAAGAAACCAGACTATCTCAGGCTATTCGTAGTCTAGTTTTTCTCTTTTTGGTGAGGTATTTCAGAAATACACATTGGTCCAGGAAGTGGCAATTGAGATGTGATAGGCTTTGCTTGGGCAGGTAAAGCCAAGTAAAGGAGAATTTAGTCCGCTTAAACTTTCTGTTAACCTGACCCTAGTTGTCAATCTGAATTTCAAACCATACTTTTGCACAGTTTTCATTTTTGTTTGTGATAAACTACTGCAGTATTACCTATTACTCATGACTCTAGACCCTCATTGCTATACAAAATTACATATAAGAGGTTGTGAGGGGAATGGGAAAATAAACAGGAGAAAAATGAATTACAGTAGATGGGGTAGAGAGAGAAGATGTGAGGGAAGGGGAGGGGGGATAGTAGGGGATAGAAAAGGTAGCAGAATACAACAATTACTAATAGGGCATTATGTAAAATTGTGGATGTGTAACCGACGTGATTCTGCAATCTGCATTTGGGCTAAAATTGGGAGTTCATAACCCACTTCAATCTAATGTATGAAATATGATATGTCAAGAGCTTTGTAATGTTGTGAACAACCAATAAAAAATAAATATAAAAAAAGACCGTGTATCAAAGTTTTCACATAAAATAAAATAAAATACAAAATGGGTGTGGGGATGTAGTTCAGTGGGCGACAGGGTCTCACTTAGTTACTTAGAGCCTCACTTTTCCTGAGGCTAGCTTTGACCTCACAATCCTTCTGTCTCAACCTCCTAAACTTCTGGGATTACAGGCATGTACCACTGCACTTGGTCTCCTAGTCTATATTGATAAATGGAGCTATGAGTGACCTATCACAAATATAAAATAGTGGTAATCACTGTAAAATATCACTCATATAAAAATGTACCAAAACAATGCTATAATAACCATTGTAAGTCTAATTGAAACAATATCCAGGAAATTTGGGTGCAAATGCTATAAAGACATGGGAAATTCCCTATCTGCCCTCCCTCCAACAAAGACATAAAAAGAATTTTTTAAATATTAGCTTTGTATACAGTAGATTTCTATCAAGATGCAAAGTATAAATTATAGATTATTTCACATGCTAATTCTTATGAAATAAATACTACTGTTTTATTTCTTTACACTTTTTGTCACTGAATTATAAAGAAACTTAAAAATGTTTATTTTTATTTTTTGGTTAGTCTCCATGGAAGTTGGTCCTGAAATAGCTGCGAGTTGGTTTTTATTTCTTTCTGGTAGAAAGGTCAATGCAAATGACAAATGAAAAAGGATCTAAAATAAGCAGTTACTTTCAAATGATATTCTTATTAGTAGTATGTACATGTGTGTGTGTTAGTCAGTTTTTTGTGACTGAAGCCAAAATTCCTGAAAAGAACAACTTAGAGGAGGAAAAGTTTATTTGGGTTTCCATGGTTTCATAGGTTCAGTCCATGGTCAGTTGAATCCATTACTCTGGGTCTGAGTGAGCAAGAGCATCATGGCAGAAGGGTGTAGCAAAAGAAAACTGCTCAGCTCATAGAGCCTACAAGCAAAGCAAGGCACCAAAATATAAACCCTGAAGGCATGACCCCAGTGAATCACTGTTTCCAGCCATGCCTCCCTGCCTACACTTATCACCCATTAAATTCATTTCAATTATTAACCCATCAAATGGATTGATGCACTGATTATATTTCAGATCTCATAATGTAACAATAAGCTTTTGGGGGACATCTCACATCAAAACCATAATTGTGTGTGAGTGTATGTGTGTGTGTGCATGTGTGTATGTAAAAGACAGAGAAAGCAAGCAAGAGAAGGAGAACAGAGATACTGGAGATTGAACCTAGGCTCACTCTACCCAGCCCTTTTTTAAAATTGTGAGATAGGGTCTTGCTAAGTTGCTCAGGCTGACCTGGAACTTGCAATCCTTCTGCCTCAGCCTTCCAAGTAGCTGGGATTACACATGTGCATCACCTCACACATCTCAAATGATTTAAATATCTGAGCATTACAAGTTGGCTTTATGCAACTTGATTGTATTCATTCTCTTATTCTCTTGGTTATATTCATTTATTCCACTCAATATGTTCATTCATCACATTTTTGCAAAACATGAAAACTTTTAAAGAAACAATTAAAGACATGAGGAATAATGAAGTTGGTTCTGATGGTTTTATTATATTTCATGAATTTAAATTTTAGCATAGATAAGTTTTGAGTATTAAAAAACATTTTTAAAAATGGGGGCAGTTAGCGTTCTTAGTGCCTATCAGCTAGCGGTTAAATTATCTTGGGAACATCTGAACACTTTATAATTCTTTTCTTCAGAGATTCACAATACTTTTTATAGGGCAATACTATAGGTTGAATTATATTTCCCCTTCTTCCTCTAAAAATTATATGTCCTAACTCCTGGTTATCCAAATACAATCTTATTTGGAAATAGGGTCTTTATAGAGGGAATCAAGTTTAAATGGGGTCATTAGGTAAACCCTGATTCAATAAGTCCAGTACCCTAATGAAAGAGGAAACTTAGATGCAGAGATGGAGGTTCACCCAGGGAAGATTATGTGAGGAGATGGAGGGGTAACTTCCTGTGAAGTTTGAGGCAGACATTGGAATTTTGCTGCCATAAGCAAAGGGCTACCAGAAGCTGGAAGGGACAGGAAGGAAATGTTCTCTTTAGGTGCCAGAGGGAACATGGCCCTCTGACACCTTGCTTATGAGCACCTCCAGGACTTTGAGACAATAAGTTTCTGTTCTTGGTCATCTAATTTGTGGAATATACTTATGACAGCCCTAAAAAAACTAATATATATTATTTTTAGTATATAAGTAGTAGAACATTATTTAAAATTAATAAAAACTTTAATTTACAGTTTTTCTCAAATTTATTCGACAATAAAGTCCTTTTTAATGAAACTTCTACTAACATTCCACAGAACACTATAGGTATAGTTGTTTTTTTTAAATACTCTTAACTTTTATATAGTTGTTTTTTTAAAATACTCTTAACTTTCATCTGTATTTTGTTCTCTATTTAGAATTAATTCTACTTCTTACATTTAAAATACTTCAAGCTTTTCTTACTTAGCCTCTTTGTCATTAAATATCTTTTTACTTATTCTAATTTATTATATATGACAGCAGAATGCATTACAATTCATATTACACATATAGAACACAATTTTTCATATCTCTGGTTGTACACAAAGCAGAGTTACACCATTCCATTCGTGTCTTCATACATGTACTGAGGTTCATGATGTCCATCTCATTCCAACATCTTTCCTACTCCCATGCCCCCTCCTTTCCCCTCCCACCCTTTGTCCTATCTAGTGTTCATCTAATCCTCTAATGTTCCCCTGCCCCCAACCCCATCATGAATCAACATCCTTATATCAGAGATGATATTTGACATTTGTTTTTTGGGGATTAGCTAACTTCATTTAGCATTATATTTTCCAACTCCATCGATTTACCTGAAAATGTCATGATTTTATTCTCTTTTAATGCTGAATAATATTCTATTGTATATATATGCCACATTTTCTTTATGCATTCATCTACTGAAGGGCATCTAGGTTGCTTCCACAGTTTAGCTATTGTGAATTGTGCTGGTATAAACATTGATGTGACTGTGTCCCTCTAGTATGCTATTTTTAAGCCCTTTGGTTAGTAGATATATCTTAAATATATCATAATTCAACAAATTATCCTTTTAAAACATTGATCACACTTTTTCTTATAAAACAGTATCTTATTTCTGACTATATGATAAGAGTCTTAAGTCAAGGAACATACAAAACTCATCCTTATACAGCCTACATGTAATGATTACCAATTGACAAGATATGAACAGAAATGGCTTTGATAGAATTTAGACCAAGAATTTCTTGTCCTTTTATACCACACATGGAAGTTCTTTTCCTTCAAACTGGTATGGCATTCTTGATTTGGCATGCAAGTTGTAGCACTGGTTGCTGAGATTCTTTCTGATTTTTCAATCTCCTATCATCACATAGTGGCTTTTTTAAGTTACCAGCTTAAATGTGTTCATTAAGCACATATCATGCCAGTCACTGTGCTACAAACTATCACTGCAAAACTTTTTCAGTACTCACAACAATTCTGATTTTTACATGGTAGAAAATTGAGGCAAATGAAAAAGTAAAATAATTTACACAAAAATATTCAGAAGATCAGCTAGTGAGAACTAGGCTGCAAAACCAGGTTGGTCTTATTCTAGACTCTGATTTTTTTTTTCGTAGTATACCATGCTGCCTCTGTTTCTGCAAGAACTGTTAAAAAGTCAAAGCAGAATCCAAAGTAGCAGGATTGCCCTTTGTTCAATACATCTTGAACAATAAATTTTGCAACATCTCTAGGTTCCTAAGTAAACCATATCTTAAGGTTCCAACTTCACCAACTTTCATTTTCTCTCTTGTAGCAATGCAAGCAGTTTTCAAAAATAAGTAAGACAGCTACGATATTTAAAGTATTGCTTCAAATTGTAGTAGCATAGCATTGTCACAAAGCATGTAGGGAGAGAATACAGGCCACATTGGATATTTCCCATCTGCCACAATCCTATTTGTGATTTAATCACTTTGCCAATTGAACAAGTTGCCTTATTATCTCATAAAAACCATCATAAAAGTTTCCTAAGTTATTAAAATTTTAAAAAATTGCTTTCAAGTTTAGAGAGGTAATAACACAAAGCAGAAATAAAGTGTGATTCAAGTGAGAAAAGCTATTAAAAGGGTTTTCCCCTTCATCAACTTACCTCCATGACCATACCTTCTGTGCCATGTAAACTCTAAAACAAAAAGAAAAAACAATTTTGACCTAAAGCAATTCTTTGAGTAGTGGTTTCAAACATTATTCAAATAACTGAGATGCTAGTTAATGACATTGAAGAATCAGTCTTTCACCTTTAAGATAGAAGTATCTCTACATCAGTACAAATATTTTATTCTTATCCTTACATTTATAGTTGCAGCAAAGTTTTAATCAATAAAATTAATATAAATTTTTGGTCCTAACAAGATAATTTTTATTTCACCCATATAAATAAGATTTGAAATAATAACATTTCCATTTTTTCTGGATTGTATTTATATTACATATGTGTATACATATTATATATGCAATTATTTGTATGCATGTGTGTATAATTATTATAACTATAAAAATACATAGTTACCAATGTCATTAAAATTCTTAAGTAATAATAAAACTCTTTTTTTTTTTGGATTATGGAGTCAGCATAATAAAAATTACCACCCAAAATAAAATACCATTTTTATTTCCTTAAAAATATGTTAAGAATAGGATAGAATGTTTCTCAGTTTTATCATTCAAGCAATCAGTAAAGGTTGATGTAAAAGGAAGAGACAGCAATGTCTTGAACTTCAGCAACTCAATGAGTCTGTGCTGAGTTAAGATCATTGAGATGAAGGTATCAGAAAGACTGATTGTTAGAAAATACTAATTTCAGATACAAATATGATGCATCTTTCCTTGAAGGAAATATCTCTGAGTGGTTCATATTTGTCTTCAAATGACAGACTTATAATATTTGTCCTAAAAATTGGAACACTCTCACAACTATTTTGGTATTGTGAATGTGCCTACATACATTGTAAATTATTTTCAACATTATTTACCTATGATTAACTAAAGTAGACAAATATATGTATAATTCAATATTGTGTTGAACCCACTCAAAATCACTCTCAAGAAGTGACTATTAATTTACAGAAACTTTATGAATCATTTTTAAACACATAATTAACATTTATATTATTATTAAATTACAAATAAATAAATTATATTAAAAACAAAGGGAATACATGTTTAAAATCATTACTTTAAAAATATTTTAACTGCATTTATTTATTTAAGTATATCACTATCTGGATGGTGAAAATAATCATTTAATAATGAACTAGACACATTATTTCCAAATTAAATAACAATAAGTTGAAACTGACCATCCTGAGAAGATTTACTCTCAGGAATAGACAAATGCTTCATGCCAGGAATCCCTCCCGTTAGATATTCAAATTTTAAACAGTTACCATCACATTATCACATGAGGTAACAAAATCCTATCAATTTTAATTGAAAGCAAAATTTTTTAAAAATAGGGCTAACCCTAACATTAAATTTATTTACTTCTATGAACCAGAAGTCAAAAGAAAACATTAATTTTATCTTCATACAAGCAATTTAGTGAAATGCAAAACATATGGATTATGTGGGCATAATTTATGGAAAATATACAAAGGATATTCTTACCTGCTAGACATGTTGTAAAAGAGATTATCATCAGATGACTGACCAGCAACCACATTTTCATCTTATGTTTAATAGAAATTCGTTCAATTTTCCAAAAAAAGAAAAAGAAAATAAAAAGCTTTAGCTGTTTGGCAGTTGGGTAGTATTAAACACCTGCATGAAGAAAGGAGAAAAGAAATGGAAGGAGGGGAAGGGAAATGCAGGGGCAGGATTAGGAAGAAAGGAAAGAAGGAAAAATATTTATCATTTGGGGCCAACAACATTGTTAATTCTATTTTATTTTGTACTTCTTTTTTGTAGAATAATTTTTAGCTTATTTAAATACATCTGTAGACACTGTTGTAATGAAAAGAGTAGATTCAATATCACGGGGCTGACATCCAGTACCGATCCACCCTGGGCATAAGCAAGTCATTTAACAGGTGTGTGTTCGAGTTTCTTTGAACCACTGAGTATAATAATCCTTTCAACAAATAGTATAATTGTCAATGTTCCAATATCTATCATTTTTACTGAAAATTAAATTTAATTGAAGTGCTGATAGGAAGATTCATTTAAAGATGTATTTGTACTAAAGCTTTGTAAACACATAGGTATCATAGAGGGTGATACATTAGTACTACCTGTTGGTGGTTTGTGAAGAATTTTTGCCACAGTGCTGATTTTTAATACAAAACATAATTAAGAATGTATTCATTCTTCCTTCTAACTTTCACTTTCATTCATTCTTTCAACAATTAGTAAATTACTCAGGTATGTCAGAAAAGACAAATCTAGTTCAACAATCAAATCTCTAAAAGTTAGGGAGACCTCTTTAAAGACAAGGAGACAAACTTACTAATGTAAACTAAGCTATAAAACTATGCAACTGTCTAATTAAAATATCTTGCTCTTACAAATTTTGCAAAAATCAATGAGCATGATTTAATGTCTTTTCAAATTGAAACTCTTGTTGGCTGGCTCCTACTGTTGAGATTTCATCCAGGGCCTTGGAATATCTTATGGAAATGAGGAGCCCAACAATTTAAGTTTTGTTAGCTGCATCTGTGACTAAGCATACGGATAAGATGTGAATCAAGAGAAAGGCAGAGTTTCTTGGTCTGAAGAAGTTCCTAGGTCAGTGGAAACAGAGATAGGTACACAAGTCAGTATAATGAGATAATTATTTGGACTTGCATGCTATTAAATTTGAAAAATAATGTTAATCATTTTAATTGAAATCATTGTAAAGTACAGCCCTATGAACATGTGCCCAAGTGTGACAGGCAGGGCATGAAAGTGGAGATGCTGTACTCTAAGATTTAAGTCATTCAATTACTTTGTAAACCCATTTATTCCTGAGACTCCTTGAGAAAAAATACATCCCCAAGCCATTAAGAAAAGAACTCTTCAGTAGGAGCCAACAAGAGTTTCAATTTGAAAAGACATTAAATCATGTTTCAAGTGTTTTAAAATAGAATGACTGAAATATCATGTCCTAGAAATGAGTACAAAACAGCAGGTAATATACAGCAAGAAATCATTCTAAAATAATAACTTAATCATGTAGTATTCAACATAGAAATATACTTGAGTATTATCCAAAAGAGCAAAAACAAAATTTTACTAATTGCTCATATTTCACTAACATGCTGAAGAGAAATATTGGCTCCAGTTAACTTAGTTATGATGGATTTTGAGAATCTTGATTTTCAAGAATTCTAACACTTTGCAAATGTTTACTGGTAGCACATGAGCCAGGATAAAATAATTTATTACATTCAATATATTGAAATTATTATTAACCTCTAATTATTAATCTATTTATATAAAAATTTGAATTGGATTCTTAAAGAACACAATGGAAATGGGTCAAATTTAAGCAGGAAATATTTAGAATATGAATGCAGAAAAAGTATCCCACAGATAATTTTTAATTGTTGATATTAATTTATGACCAATTTATTCCTCTTAGAGAGTCTGAGAAGATATGAACTATACATCTGCATAGAAAATATAAAATCTAGAATTTTTATTTTAGTTTTCTTTCACTAAGCAGGACTGACCAGAAAGAAAAATAAATAGTATAAGAAACATGAAGAATGAAGAACAAATCTTTTGGGTGCAGGAGAATCAATGAAATGACTTGTGGAAGGGTTAGCTTTTTATTTCAATGAAGCAGTGTATAATTTGTATCTAAATATAGACCTAGAGGAGAATAATTAGAATGTGTGCAGATTGGCTGTGTCTTTCTAAGCTTTCTCAGACACACACAAATGTGCCCTTGAGCATTTTCTTGGTCCTTTGGTTTCTAACTCTTCCAGTTAGGTTATGCACAATAATGAGGACAACCTCCTTTCATGAAGAGAAAGGTAGAAAACACAAATAGTAACTCATGTAAAAACTGTTGTTTTATCAATAAAAAAAAAGCTGACTTGGACAACATATTGCAAAAAGTTACAAATCACAAAGCATGTACAGCTCAATGGCACCCAACAGTGATTACTGGGTTTTAAAAGTTCTAATTTATTTATTAATATACTATTTATTATCATTTAAAATTCTAAATGACTCTCACAGATATTCAAATTTAAGAGCAAGGGATCCTGTCGCAATTTGGGTATTGAGTGAAAAGGAAGTGCCAATGACCAGAGAAAAAAGGAAACAGAGGTGAAGAATGAAGTTCTAGTCCTCTGAATGTGTCCTTGAGAGTTTTCCTTCTGATGGTCTGTGGCACGGAGATTTACTCATTAATTTTATAGATAGTCTAAAAAAGTGGAGCAAGTCTTAAGAAAGATTGGTTGTGCTCACACAGAGCAAGTGATTTTAGGAAACTGAAAACAAAATACAGACCATTTCTTTTTAGGTCTAGCATGTTATTTAACACTTCCTTTCATAACAATCACAGTATGGGGGAACTTGTGCCATAAATAGTCAAGATAATCTAAGAGAAAGCCAGATAGATTTTGTCTAAATTTTACCCCAATAATTCTTTAGTTTGCAATTTGGGGCAAGTTACTCAAACTATGACTCTCATTTTCCTCACTTCTAAGATATAAAAAAAATGTCTATTTCCTAGGACTGCTATAATGGTTACATGATAATTTGCCTGTGAGATATTTAGTATGGTTTTTTTAGTAAATATTAGATTATTATTCTACTAGGCTATACACCTGTCAGGGCAGGGGATATGTTTCTCATTCATTATGATGGCTCACATATATATTAGCCATATATATGGCCCATTCATTCTTTCATTATGTATATTTTATATATATATATATATATAAAATACACCATTATTTCATGATATATACACATGAAATTGTGTATATGACTTATTTCTATATGTGTGTGTGTGTGTATTATTATTTCATAATGAATGGACCATGTCCCTTATTATATTCTAGTATATTCCAAAGCTCTTGCCATAAACAAACTGATATTTAATTTTATTTTCCTTAAATAAGGATAAGATGGTGACAATAGGTATCAACACTGTCTCTTCTTGAGGCTTTGATCTTAGAGATTATAATGACTTAAAGATATTCTAAATATCAATATTCTAAAGCACTCTTAGATATGCAGTTAGGTGAGTGTTGATGGAAAACTGTATTTCAGTTTGAATATAGGCACACTCTAATCAGAATGCAAAGTTCTTTCATTGTTTTGAGCCTCTCTGTCTTAACAATGCTATCTCCTCCTTTAAAATGTTGCCATTTAAGTAGGACAGAGAGCCATCACTCAGGCAGCACTTAATTTAATTCACTTAATGGGTTTCTTGTGGGTTGGGTATAAAAGCATCTTTCACATCTTGTTTATACATGTGTTTTCTGTTGGTGATTTGCTCTACCGTGTTACCAGTAGTCCAGTCATCCATGACTCCTGATCACATCCCTCAGCAGCACAGTAGAGAAGCTAAGCTCATTCCTGCTAATGTGGAGGAAACTGCCCTTTCTAGTTCTCTCTTGAGGAAGTAGCACTCAGCAAGTCACAGCCCCTCTCTGGCCTCCATGGGCCTGGCAGGGTTGCAGCAAATGAAGGGACAGAGGAAGAAAACATGCAACTCTAACAAATGTGCCAGTTACAGAGGCAGATTTCTTCCATCTCCATAACTGAAATAACAGAATGATCAGAAGCCAGCATGCATTCCTGTCCCCAAGACCATTGTGGGCTGGCCAGTCCCTGAATTTTTTGGCTTTCAGAGAGCCCTGTGACTCTTATACTCCCCAATCTGGCATCAGGCTGTTGGATATCGTATCCCACAATCCATCAGAGCTCTGTGGGTCTCTGGTGACTGGCTCATCATTGATATATTGGGGCTGTACTAACGTCCAAATGAATTCAGCTTCCTCTTTTCAATAGCACTCTTTACTAAATCTCTTAACTATGTATTGTAACAGCAGTGCCTTGTTATGTGGTAAAAACAATGCAATAGGAACACTCTCTTTTTTTTCATCTCCCCATGCCTGTCTTTCTCTCTCCTTCTCCCTCTTTGCTTTAGATAATTCTAGGGTTCTTATTGAGAAATGAGCACCATAGCTAGATATGCATTCTGTCTGGACAGACACTGTCTAGCTCTTCTTTATGTTCTTAGGCAAGATAGCTCAAATAAATTATTCAGAACAGCATCAACAATACATAAGCAGGCATTTAGTCACTAACAATTATTTACAAAATATTTCATACTGCTATATAATGAAAATGTGCTCCATCCAGACCAATAAAACAAAGTTTTCATTGCACTGATGGTTTACTTTATCTACATTGAGGGGAAACTAGATTCCAGGAACACTGAGAAAATAATCAGATATATTAGCAAGTAGCCCCATCTCTGTTTTAAAAAGAAAAAAAAATTCTTGACTTTTTTTTTTTTAATCTTCAACACAACCGATGAAAGATGATTTTAAAATGATAATCAGCCTCCGTAAAATTTCACCTGGTTCCTCATCCCCATCACTCTGTTTTGGTTCTGAAGAACATTTGCTATTGAATTCTATTTCCAGAAAATGTTTCAAAAAAGGTTGTTAGAGATAAGCACAGATTATTCTAGTTGAAAGACACCAATACCTCTTACTCATCAATTCAAAACTGGGGGACATTTTATTCTCAGAATCAAACTAAAATACTGCCCCTGCTGCTCCATCTCTTAATCTTCCCAGTGTTAGTTGCCC